CCATGTTACTTACCATTTGACTCTGAACAAGGTGCTCCCTGGCCAACCACACGGCAAATTTTCCCGCTGTGGACACCCCCACATGGCATGGCCCCGGGATCTGCTTTGGAAGGAAGATGGTGCCCGGACTTGGAAAGGCCTTTGGAGTCGCTCATGCCTCAGTGTCATGGGGTAAATTGTGTCTTCCCCCAATTCATATGCCAACAGCGTTACTCACCCCCGGGAGCTCAAGAGTATGGGCTGTAATTGAGACAAGAATCTTTTTTTTTTATTTTATTTTATTTGTGGAAACAGGGTCTGCCAGCCCTGTCAGCCCACAGGCTGGAGTGGCAATGGTACGCCCTCGGGATTCACTCGCAGGCCTCCAGCCCCGCTGGGCCTCAAGCAATCCTCCTCTCAAGCCCTCTGAACGTAAGCTCGGGACCAGCACAGACATCGCCCGCCACCATACCTGGCTACATTTTTTAAAAATTGATTTGTAGAGATGAGGTTCTTTAATTATGGTGCCCAGGCGTGGTCTTGCAACTTCTGGCCTCCAAGCAATCCTCCTGGCCTCAGGTCTCACCAAAGTGCTGGGATTACAGGCATGAGCCACTGTTCTGGCCAGCAGACAGGGTCTTTAGACGAGATAATGGAGGGAAAAATGAGGTCACTAGGCGTGGGCTCTGATCCACGTCTGCCTGGAATCCTTCCTAAGTAAGAGGATGATTAGGACACAGATGCTCACAGAAAGACAATCGAGCCTGAGACACGGGGAAGGACACATGGGCGAGAGAGACTGCCGTCTGGAAAGGCTGAGGAGGAGGCCTCAGGGGGAACCAGCCCCCAACGCACAAACAAGCTTGATCTTGGCTTCCAGCCTCCAGGATTGGGAAATAAACATCTGTTGTTTCAGCTGACCCTGGTCTGTGAGAGTTTGTTAGTGGCGGCCCCAGCAAACTGACCCACCGATGGCCGAGAATTTCACCTTTTGATTTATGGGTGGTGGGGTCAGCAGGGGCTTTGGAAGCCCTTGTCCGACACACAGGGCTGGGGCTCCTTGGCTGCGCAAGGCAGAGCGGGGAAACCACTCCCTGGGGAGAGGCCAGCGGCTGGGAGACCGTGGTGTGTTAGGGGGTGTGTGTGTGATCAGGTTGTTATGTAGGCTGGTTGGTAGTGTGTGTATAGGGTGTGTGTGGTTGCTGTGTTAGTGGTGCAGTGATAGTGTAGTGTGTGTAGGTGCTGTGTGTAGTGGGTGTATGTAGGGTGTGTGTAGGTGTGTGTGTAGGTTGTATGTGTGTGCGTAGGTGTGTTTTTGTAGGTGTGTATGTACGGGTGTATGTAGGGTGTGTGTATACAGGGTGTGTG